TGGCACCATTGCCACCTGCTGGCTGTTGCCACCTTACCTGGAGCAGCTCACCTTGACTTTTGGATGTTTCTTGTCTTGGTCTTTCCTTCCTCCTTTCCATTTTCTACATGTGGAATATTTGCCTTATGTAAAAATACATTTGTGAGAGGTGAGGAAACATGAGAAAATGAGTTTGATATTTTCCCAAGAAAATGGGATTGTATAATAGCACGTTGGGATCCAATTTATTAAGAGATTATTGTTTTAAATGGACAGCTTGGAATCGTTAGGGTCACTTCTGTGCAGCTGGGAGACTTGGCAAAGTATAAAAAGATGACATTTCTGCCCTTATGTAGCACACTCTGCCATGATGTTTTTTCTAAGTGTTGGCATATGAGCTTTGTGGTCACAGAGGCTCCCAAGGCATTTTTCAATTGCTTTTGGTTGCCACATGATGTCACTGTCTCATGATCCAAGACTTCATTTTTACATTTGCCTCAAGGCCAGGAAGATAGGAATTTGTCAGGTGAAGCCAGTGTCATTTGGGAGAAAATCTTGTCTTAAATAATTAGCTTGCCTATCTGGGAACTCAGGGTGCTAAAAGAAACTACTTTGGATCCAAGAAGAGCTTGCCTCCTTTCAGGCTGGCCAAGGCTGGGGTTTGCCAGCCTGTGATCTTAAGCTATTTTGTTTCTCAAGGACAGAGGCTGCCAGGATCTCTTTGAGACAGTCTGAAAAATAGATTCCCTGAAAGAATGCCTTGGAATACTTTGAACTTTCCATGAGTTGTTGCAGTAGTTCAGAAGTTTAATTCTTTAGCATTTATTGCTTATAGTACACCTGTAAACTTTAGTACACCAGGTAATGAATGACTATTTTTGAAAGTATTCAAGTATTAGTACTTATAGGTATGATTTGATTTTTAATATTTAGGTAAACTTGAAAATTAGCATAATCTCTAAAATCTGATTTTTCAGTCTCAAAAGGTTAGGTATTCAATTTTGTGCTTGATGTAGAAGTGTGCATATATTCTGGCAAAAATACATGTGGAAACTCAGCTGCTGTGAATATTTGTTTTATTAGTCCAGTTGTGAAAATGTTCAGTCAGAATGGTTATTTACTTCTGGAAAGCAACCAAAACAAACGCCTGGGTTACTCATAGAGCTGCACCCAGAACAAGCCTTTGAAGGAGGTAGAAGCACAGACTCAAAATATGATGGGATTTCCTTATCCTTTGGATTAGTTTAATAATGGCTTCCATTTATTGATTAGGAACAGTGTGCAGAACAGAAATTAAATGCAGAATTTTCAGATGGTGTTTTCAGGCAGGCTGTTAGTATAATTCTCTGTTACTGTTCAACTGCTTAAAATCTTTCAGGAAGTTCTTGCACCAAGGCACAACATAAAAGAGCCTGTCTGTTTTCTTGCTGTGCTCCTACACTCTAAACAGCCATTAGAGCTCTGTGTTGCACTTTGATAGTGTGATAAACCATTTTATACTTTCCAAAAGCTTTCTTTTCTCCCCAGTACTGGGGGTTGAACCCAGGGCCTTTGCACTGAGCCACATCCCCAGCCCCCCCTTTCATTTTGAGATGGTGTCACTAAGTTACTAAATTGCCCAGTCCTAAATTACTAAGTTGCAGTCCTCCTGCCTCAACCTCCCAGCATGCTGGGATTATAGGTGTGCCAACCCATCTGGCTCAAGAAGGTTCTTGTTTATAGCATGAATGGTGGTACTGGTGAGAAGTTCAGTGGGTCATTCAGTTGAACTGTGTTTGGAAGAAACCAAGGCCTAGAGAAATAGTTTTGTATACAAGGTTACTCAGGCCTCTACATAAGGTAAGGAGTAGCGTTCGAAATATAGTTTAGCCAAGAATAGTTTCTCTTTATTGAGTAGGCCTGTATTTTCCATGGATTGTACAGAGTACTTACACATACATACATTTCAGTCAGTTCATTTTAAAAGGCAGAGGACTGCCCTGCTTCAAGGGTGGTGCTAGCACGTGTACACTGCTGGAGGAAGGCAGGAGCACGGCTGGTTACTTCCGCTGAGTGGGAGGGTCCCCTTAGAGTTGTGCCGTCCCCTGGGTGGGCATAGGTGTGATGGTTGGCAGAGGGAAGAGAATTGAACAGGGTCATAGAGATGGTTGTTGTGGTGTGCTGTCACAGTTTCAAGGTGCAAAGTCGCAGAGAAGAACCCAGACCCCAGACCTGTACCACACTGCTATGAGCACACAGAGAGCTGTTCCAGCTGGTTCCCTCCCTTGTTCCCAAGCCCCCTTTGCCCAGACTCCAGTGCACTCTGCTCTGCTGCTTCAGCAGTTGCTAGGATCCCACTGCCGAGTCCCCAGGCAGCCCTGAGATCTGCATAGTGGGCTTCCAGGCCCCTCCCCAGTCCCTGTTTTGAAGAACAAGCCAGCAAAAAGAACAAGGAAAGTGTTTGCTCCCACATTTCTAGCAGAACCCTCCCTGCTTCAATGTCTCTGTCTTCCTAGCAGGAGATGGACACAGGCCATCTTAACCCACAGTCCTGGGGAAGAGACTTCCAAGAAGCTGAGTCTGTAGAGAAGTCAGGAACGTACTAGTCTGTCCTGTTATAAGGTTTTGCTGACTGAAGTGCTGCAGTGACCACTCCTTGCCTATTCAAATTTGCTCCATTGGACACTGACCTTTGGAGGCACTCTACTGTTGAATTGTCATCTTGGAGCTATTGGTTTAGGCCAAGAAAAACCTCCTTTTATGGAAGCGTGGAGCCTCCTTTGTCTACTGATTAACTAGAATGAAACTGCGCTGGGCTCTAGACAATCCTGACTCCCCAACAGGCCATGGAGCAGGGTCACCGATTCACCACGGCTTGGCATTCTCCTCTGGGATACGGCTGCAGCGTTCTCCTTAAGGGAACAGTGCGGATAGTCCCCAAGGAGGGTTTGGAGAGGTTTGTCATTATCCTTATCATTTGGTAACTTTGAGCCTGAGATGTGCAGTGATGTTTCAAGTATTTAAACAAATGATGCAACAGTTCTTAGTTGACTTCTTTCACCTTTTAATCTCTTTATTTTCACATTAATTTTCAAAAGATGTTGCTGTAAAAATGGTATGTGGTGGGCAGATGGTTTAGTTCAGCTTTACGCCTCTGGCAGTGTAAGTGGGGTACGTGATTTATTATTTTTTTTCAGCTTTAATTGAGTTTATTGGTACATTTTAGGGATACAGTACAGTTACATTAATTGGTGGGATCTTGTACCTCTACATGACATGTCTCGATTCTCATTTTTTCCCCTTACCTCTGCCCAGGGTACGTGATTTAAATGTCATGTACCAGTTTTGTTGTGACGATTCTCGTTGCTTTATTCGCAGGATTACATGTGCTTCTGTACCTGCATGCACTGTATCTGAGGTGCTGGGTGACTGCACTTGGCTGTAACTCTGTGCAGTTTCTGATCACCTAAACTGAGAGCAGAGTTTGGGGTTCCCCACCCCTGAAGGGCCCGAGGACACCCCTTAGGTCTGCCGCACCTGAGCAGACATTGTACAGAGCACAGCCTGTCGGGTGCAGATAGTGATGGCAGGTGCTGCCGCAGTGCTGCTGGGGGGTCGAGCTGTTCTGATGTGGCTCTGTCCCCGGCGCTTTCTTTGTTCTCTGGTTACTCCTGCACCCGGGTGTGAGGCTAGGGAGAGCTTGTCAGAACTTTAGGGGAGGTCCAGCATCACTCACTTCCTCTGCTGAAGCCAGGTCTGTGTCTGCTTTTCCTTCAGAAATAGAAGTCACCATAGCAGTAAGGGAAGCATTAAGGGCCATGTGAATTATCACACAGTGTTTGCCAGGTTTGTTTGGCAAGCAGAGAAACAGGGCTGGAGTTGGCACCACAAGACGAGTCCTTGGTGATGAGATGGGTGCGAACCCCTGTCTGCAGTTGGCCCCTCAGCCAGTCCTGTTCTCTGCTTGGCCCCACTGGGGCTTTTCGTTTCTCACGATGGGGCCTCGTATTCACAGGCGCAGAGTCTCGGGAAGAAGGACAGATGCCCCTTTCTGAGAGGACACGCTGAAGTCACAGAATGGATAACTCCAGACTGATGGGAGGGACCCAGGCAGGCCTGGTGGTTAGGTGGCTGTTCAGCAAGCTGCACCTTCTGCTGTGCGCCACAATGCCCTCCTCCTCCCCAGAAGGCTCTTGCTGCAAGGTCTCCCTCCATTCCTCCTCTCTCCCTCTCTCTTGCCTCCCTCCCTTCTTGGCCTGGGAAGAGAGCAGCAGGAAAGCAGAGGTCACCCTGCCCCCAGGAGCTGGCACTCTGCATAAGTAGTCACAAATCAGGAGAAGCCACAGTGCGCCTAACTGGGGAGGTGCTGCCAGATTGTGGTTTCCAGCTGGTTTTCAGTTGGAGGTCAGGCCTGTCTGAGAAGGGGCGATCTGAGGATGGGCAGAGGGGATCTGAGCAGCCTGAGCCCACAAGGTGGTCAAGTAAGGGAAGAAGGTGGAGGGAGACAGGACAGGAGCTTCGCAGGCTGGAGGGTGCCCTCCCTGCAAGCTCTGGAGGCAGCCTGAGCCCACAAGGTGGTCAAGTAAGGGAAGGTGGAGGGAGACAGGACAGGAGCTTCGCAGGCTGGAGGGTGCCCTCCCTGCAAGCTCTGGGCTTGTGTGCTCTCAGGGCCGATTTATTTGCTGAGGCTGAGGAGGCAGGAAGGCCCTGGGTCTGGTGCCCATGTGCTCACTGAGGTGAGGGCTTGCCCTTGAGACTTGGTGGCAGAAGTGTCTTTTGTGACCAGAACTCACGGTGTGAGTAGTAGTGACTGAGTCCAGTCTGAGAAATCCACTCTAGTACAGACAGCACAGAAGAGAGCAACCTCTTCCTCTCCCCGGGCTCCCCAGTTACTTTTTAAACATCAGGGGAAATTCCTCAGTGACATCCTGGAAGCAGACCTGGAGGACAGCATGTCTTAGGGTGTGGGACGAGCATGGCAGTGAGGGCCTCTGCACCTGTTGGGGCCTTAGCATTATGAGCCTATCCTTTCTCTACCTCAGCTAGCCTGCGTGAGGACAGTGGCCTCAAGGACTCATTCCACTTACCAAGACACATCATGGCTGAGCCAGACTACACAGATGACGACAACCCTGAGCTGATTCGGCCCCAGAAACTGGTCAACCCTGTCAAGACGTCCCGGAACCACCAGGATCTTCACAGGGAGCTCCTTATGAATCAGAAAAGGTAAGGTGCTTTCTTGAGCATGGTTTTCCTTTCGGGACTTTCAAGATAGCTAGGATTAATTTTAGGGGTATTTATAATGCTTCAGACAGTGTTTTGTTTTTTGGCTGTAGGTAGGGCTTCCTTCAGTGAGGTTATCCCTCCAGCAGCTGCAGCTGCCATCAGCTCTGTTTCTCAGCCATCCCTTGCAAAAGGGTGAGGAGTGTCCAAAGCAGAAGAGAAGTACATTATTTCTTAAATTCAGCACCTTTGGATTTGCAGGACTCAAGTTTAAGTCCTGCCGCTGTTTTCGCCTGTGTAAGTGGCAGAGCAGTCACTATAACCTTTTAGGTGTAATGGATAATGCCTTTCCTTACACTTCTGTTCATTTGTTTTTAAAGTAGCAGCTTAATATTATCGTCATCATGTTTATTAAATTTCCAGAGGGTAGTAAAACATCCAGCCTGTCTTCTTTGTGAGCCATTTGTTACCCCGCTGTGCTGAGGATACTTGGGGAGACTGGGCTGGTGGCCTCTGCGCTAAGTGGTGTCAGGACGAGCCTGTGGGCCGACTGCTGAGGGTGCATGGTTACTCTTGTTGAAGAACGAGCAGCTTCTATTCAGAACTCGTGCATCCTCTCCCTCGTGCCACGCCCTGCTGGAGAGGTCAGCACTTGTGGACCCAGTTAAGCATTGAGGCAGCTTTTGGGAACCAAATTTGTAACTGCAAAGCAAAGCTGGGGTATCCAGAGAAAGCTTGTTTGTGTTGGTCTCATTCTCCCTCCCTTTCCTTTCCTCGCCCCTTTTCTAATTTGTGTTTTTACCATAGTTATGTCTATAAACTGCCTTAAACCCTGTTTATTGATACCCCTTTTGTGCAATCTTGAGAAGATTAAAATTTTTAAAATAAAAAAAGTGTTGGGGCCATTTTCGTGGTAATTCTCCCTCCAGACCACACTCCTGCCTGCTGGAACTAACACATCTAATGACTCATAGCCCGGGAATTCTCTGAAAATATATCTCTCCCTCTAGATTTTGGAACTGTACTTGTTCCCAGCACTAGGGTGATAAATTAACACTTACTAAATTGAACGAAAGTTTAATCATTTTAATGATTTAGCTGTTACCTGTCTTTGTTGTGTAAAGAAAAAAGAATATGTGGGTTTGGCATTGTCACGCCCAAAGCTAAGTAGTATGGTGGTGTGCTTTCATAAATAGACTACAGAATTGGAAGCAGGCCCAACTGAGGAAATTATGTCTGCATCAGTTTAGAAGACTCCAAAACAAAGGTGCAGTTGTGACTTGCAGGTTTTCTGACTGTCTTCTCCCAGTGGGCCTCCATTCTCTTACCTATAAAATGAAGGTGGCACTTACTTGAATTCTAAGTGACGTCTTAGCTCAAACTGCCCCCTCCTGTGAAATCTATAAAAAGGTTCCAAGTCAGAGTAAAGGCTAAAACCAAATCAAATTGTGCAGAATATACGTTCTTTGGATTGCAGGCTACAAAATATTCTGCGGAAATGTAATAGTATGGATCATATCACTGGTGTGATGGAGTCCGTTCCCAAATTTTCTAGCTAAAGGGCCCTCCTTTTTCCTGTCTGCCTTTCTATGTCCCATTCTTTCTTTCCCTTACTTACATAATAAACACTTCAGGCAGGCCCAGCTCTGCCAATCTGGGAGAAGAGCAACTCTTCCTTAAGTACCATGGTGTAGACAGGATATGGCAGCAAACCTGTGGCACACATGCTGCAGCAGGCACACAGGCCTCTCTGTCAGCACGTGACAAGTCGCCCTGCACCTGAGCATTGGGTGTTCAGGGCTAACTGCCGTGTTGGCACTCTGCAATAGATGAGTTTGGCACTCATTCTCTAAAAGGTTCGCCATCAGTGTGATATGGCCATTGATATTAGAGAAAGGGCACGAATCCTGGTTCATTTAACGTGACCTGCCTTCTGTCTTGACTAAGGCACCCTTCTTGAGATCTGTTGCTTCATTTATTAAGTGTGGAGAAATCAAGTCATTCTTATCAAATTGGTAGCCTGGATCAAACACCTCTGAAATGGCCAGCACGTGAGTGATCTGTTAGTCCCACTGTCTTCTGTTTCTAATGTGCATTTTTGGAAAATTTCTGTTGCTTTTCCTCCTTTTTCTTGAAAGATTCTAGTCTGTGTGGAAGTACATTTTAAAAAGAAAAGACAAATTTCAAAGTCAAAAAAGATGAATGTATCTCATTTTATGTTGAAGACATAAACAGTCTTTTCAATGAAGAATCTTAGTTTGGTAGAATCATTGTTAGAAATATAACTGGTTTCAGTGTGAAACTTCTCAAAAAATTTCTTCTCTTTTCTTTGTTTTTTTTTTAAATATTTCAGATACTACACTTTTTAGACACTTTCAGTTTTTTGTTTCTAAACTTTGGTGCCCATAAATTAAGGAGACATCACACAATAATATGCATATTGGGTTCAGGCATAACCTGTCTTGCATACTGATTTGTAAGGCAATGGAAGCCTTCTTTTCCTTGCTGTTTATAAGGGGCCCTTGCATAGTTTATCTTACTCTTACGGTGATCTTACCAGCCACCCAGTGCGTTTGTCTTGAGATTATCCCACACCTGGAAATGTGAGTTAGGGAAAACTCAGGAACAGTTTGGGAAATTTTCTTGAGACTGTTCAACAATTTTTTGGAACAAAAAGAAATAGAAATAAACATAGGATGAAAGCAATTAATAAAGGCAAATATAGCGGCAATACAAATTAGAAAACAGAGAGGAAATGAGGGCAGGGGAGAAAGAGCTCCATAGCAGCTCCCTCGGAGACTCACCTTTAGCTGCAGAGCTGCTCCTGTGGCTCAAGTTCTGCAGCAGGTAGGTCCGTGCTTCTAAAGTCACTCTGTAGAGACCCTAAGATGAAGCAGTCCTTGTGTAGGAGGGCAGAACTCACGGATCTGACTGACCCCTCGCCCTTTAGGCATATAACATTTGCTTCTCTGTTCGCTACTTTTTGGACCTTGCTACATTTCGGGTTAAAAGTCTGGCTGTTCCTTTGATTGCAGTTAGCTGCTGGGTCTGAGTGTTTGATTCTCAGATTTCATATGCCTTTTCACTGGCACAAAAAGACTGATCTCAAAAGGCATTTAGAAGCATTATTTTTTGGTAGTTGAACTCAGTATTGAAAAAGTGTTTAAGAAAATAGTGTTTCCAACATAACTTAGGGAGAGCCTATCCTTGAAAAAGAGTAACTTTTTTATAAGTAAGCCAGTTACTTAAACACATCCCTAAATTTGTTCTTTGGCTTATACATTTCAAAGTCAGAGTTCTCTAGATTCGTGTTTTCAGTTAACCTTTTGAAATGCCTTAGTAGACAAATACAGTGGGGCCTCAAGTTATGACCAGCCTCATATATAAACAACTTGAGTTATGACTAGAATTTTAATTTTATGACAATTGTCTTGAGATACCACCTGCCAGCCCCTTGAGAAGTTATAAAAAAAGACCCGTGATGCCAGAAAAGCATGGAGGTATACGTAAGTGACAATCTGAGCCCAGATGCATGTGTTTGTGGATGTGAATTTGGTAGGTGCTTTATAAAATTGCTACAATTACTGCTATCAAAATGGCCCCCAAAGAGCTAGAAAAGAAGCTAAGGGAGAAGAGAAGATAAAACAGTCACAATAAAAAAGAATAAGGACATTATGGAGAAATATGAGAGTTGCATTTGTGTGACTGATCTCACTAATAATGTACAGCATGTTGAAATTCACCATCTTGACAGTCTTCGAAAAGATTTGTATAAGGAAGCTAGTGTTGCTAAAGATGTTACTCAAATTCTTAAATCACAATCAACAGTGTTAGATGAGGTAGGAAGGCTATTATTAGCATGGATAAATAAGATGCAGCTGGCAGGTTATAACTTGAGTCTATAATTTGTGAAAAGTTTAATCCATTAACGAGTGATAATGGTGAAACATTTCGTGCCAGAAAGGGGTGGTTTCATAATTTTAAAGTGAGAACTGGGGTTCATAGTGTAACAAGGCATGGTGAAGGAGCCAGTGCTGATAAAAGGGCTGCTGAAAATTACACACAGCACTTTGAAATGATGACACAGAGAAATGGCTTTTGAGCTCATCAAGTTTTCAACTGTGATGAAACTGGCCTTTTCTGGAAGAAAATGCCCAGGGGAATGTTACATTGCCCAGGAAGAAAAGAAAATGCCAGGCAACATGCCTGTGAAGGATGGCTAACCTTATTGCTGTGTGCCAGTGAGAGTGATAAAACCTCTCTTGATTTATCACTGAGACCCCTAGAATGCTTAGAAAATGTAGTCTTAAGGAATAGGTCATGTGGAGATATAATGCAAAATCCTGAGTATCAAGAGTGCTTTTTCTTGAGTGAATCAGAGAGACTTTCTTCTGTCCTACTATTAAGAAATACCTAGAGGACAAAGGTTTACCATCCAAGGCTTTCCTCATTGTGGACAATGCTCCTGCTCACCCACAAGATTTGGAAGAATTGGCTGAGGAATTCCCACAGTTCTCAGTCAAGTTCCTCCCACCTATTACAGCTCCTCTACTGCAGCCTATGGACCAGTAGGTTACAGCTAACTTTAAGAAGCAACACACCAAGGAGCTATTCCTGAAGTGCTCCCACATGGTCTCAGATAGATTTAACCCTTAAAGAGTTCTGGAAGGAACATCACAACATCCTTTCCTTTGTGATGTTAATTGAGAAGTCCTGGGCCACTATCTCTAAAGCCCCTGAGATCTCCCTGGAAGAAAGTGTGGCCTAAAGTTATACTGGAGAGAGACTGAACGCTGCATAGAGGAAGAAGCCCGAGCCTTCAGCTGACCCTGTGGGGGATGACACTGTCACTGTAGCAGCGTCCATATATTCACAGGTAGAAAGTGGTGGTGTTGAGGAACTGTCTGCAGGGGAACTTTAGCAGCTTCTGGCTGAGCAACAGAGAATGGCAGCGGAGGAGCTTTCTGAAGAGGAGGGAGTGTCAACAGTCATTGCGGCAAAGTTCTGAAATAAAAAACGGACAGAGCTACAAACATATGTAGAGAAGACCCACCCAGACAGAGAAAAGCCCAATCGCTGCATTCACTTGCTTAATGAGAATGCCAAGTCCTACTACAGAACAGTGTTAAAGGAGGACAGAAACAGACAACCTTAGACCGGTTTTTAGTTCTGAAAAGCTGGAGACCTGGTGAGCCAGAAGCAGGTCCTAGTGGGCTACAGACTCTCCCAAGGAGAGAAAGGACGCCAGAGAGCCAGGTTCCTGATGTGCCTATGAAAGGGACGCTCCTTCCAAACAAACGGCCTCCTTTTCATCCTCCCTTCCTGCAAACCAAAGATGTCAACTTAATGGTGAGCACAGTGTGAATTGTTTCTGGTACAGTAGGTGCATTTTATATCTTTTTAGTGAATACACTAGAAAAATTACTGGTGTTTCTTGAAGATTAAGCACATTATACAACCCTTTTATTAAGTGGTGCTTTGGGAGGTTTGGAACACATCATTATGGCTATTTCCATTATTTCTTTTGGGGAAAATAATCTTGACTTACAGCCCACTGGAGTTATAACCAGCTCTTGTGGACGAATTGTTTGTAAGTCAAAGGTCCGCTGTATTTTCTCAATAAATACTTGCCACCAGACAACATGGAGAAAGGTGGGGAATTTGTAGTGATATTGGATAGAGGTATTAGTGTTTGAATCTGGGCAGGTAAAAATGGCTAAGCCAGAAATGTAGGTTATGCAGGCCAAAGCAGAAGACTCCAAGATGGAAGACCAAGCCTGAAGTCCAGATGCATCCACCCTCTCAGCCCACCTCTAAATGTTAGGCCAAGAGTGGGTGTGGCTGGGTGGGCAGCTGCGTGTGATGGTTTGAGCACTAGACCCTCCTCTGGCTGCTGCTGTCCCAGGTGAGGAAGCATCTTCGTATGTAGGGCTCCAAGTGTGCATGGTATCTAGGTGGAGGCGAGAGGAACATCAGCCTTTGTAGGGGCCCCTGCGTGCACTCAGTGGTTTCTCTGTCATGCGAAACATTTCCTTCATGCACTAGTGGTGGGGATTGAAATTGCTACAGTCTTTCTGGAGGGATTTTTGGGAGGACTCATCAAAATATAAAGTGCACAGATGCTTAGCCAGCAATCCAGCTTCTGTGGATTTAGCTGACAGAAACGCTGGTGCAAGAGCAAGATGTAAATTTACAGAGGTTCACTGCCTCCTTGTTTTAATAGTGCACATTTGGAAGCTGCGGCCTCTCAATAGGAAAGAGGCAAAATGACAGGATTTCTGCCCCGTGAGGTGTTTTACAGATGTGAAGAAGAGGAACTCAGGCCAGGCTATTCATTAGCTCAGGGTGCAGGCATGCAGCCTCTGCTGGGGCCACCATTGCATTCACTGTGAATGATGCTCCCATGGTTTGTTTAATGGGGTGGTTGTTTATTCTCTATTTTATGAATATGGATAATCACCTGATTTTATTTTTATCACAAAGCATTTATTAATTCCGTAATGTTTAAGATTGGCTTGGCCCACTGTAGTAGTCACAGGTAGCTCTGTGACCATGAAGAAGGCTGGGAACTACTTGGTCTTTTGGAATAGGAAGCCACCAGGAGGACCTGGTTGCCTGTTGGGTACTTCGTAATATATATATTCAAGTTGATTAGAGAGAATCAGTTGCTCTCACGCAAGGGGTGAATGTGTAGTTATTTATTTGAGAAGTCCAGAGAAGCTTATTCCTGTCTGTAGACACTCTCTGCTGTCCGACCCACTGTGGACTCCGGAGAAGCATACTGCCCATGCTCCACTCCTCCAGGTTATCCCAGAAAATTAATCCACTGATGAAATAGTAATGTGTGTGATTTCTTGACTGTTACAAGTACAGAATATTTTTTCATAGAAGGACCATTTTTCCCGAGTTTTATGTTCCTAAATATTTTATCTTGCTGTCACTATTATGTGGAATTTTTGAGTAGAAAATGAATATTGCATAGTTAGGCCCATTAATTCACTGCAGTGGACTATCAGCTTAATGTGTCATAAATCAGAAGTATGTGGTTTTTGCATAATCCAGGAGAATTCAGTAGTAGTCAAAGTTAATTTTCTCAGTGAAATGGAGAAGGAAAAATGTTTGAAATTTAAATTATTCAAATAGCTAAAGTCTTATTTCTAAAGTTTAATTCCCTGAGTTCTGTATATAGTGCTATAATAAGGATTTTTAATACTCATGAAACTGAGATCTTTATTTACACTTTATCTTAGCCAAAAGGCCAAGAAGCCATTGAGGTCTTTATTCACATTATTTAAAAACAAACTTTCCTGTGATTGATGGCACTTTTAACTGAACAGTTAGAGTTCTTACTTGTAGCTTTTAATGTGCTGATTAAAGATTTAATTTCCAGAATATTCTCTTTGTATTTTTGTACCTCTGTATGGTGTCAATAACTTCAAGACAAACCAGAATTAAATCAAAAGTCACCCACCTCTTTGTGTCATTAGAAACATGGCCAAAATTTTCTTAACCAAAAATTCTGCTGTGGAACATCAGAAAAATAAAGGCATTATATCATTCTACAGTGTGCTTATCATCAGAGGTTGAATGTACTAAGCTCTACTTTGTATACAGCTGAAAACAATTTTAATCATGAGTTTTAAAACACATCTGGGAAGAAGAGGGACCAGAATTTTACACATTTCTGGATTGCTGAGGAAGGATGAGATGTAGGATTAATTCACAGATGGAATCGTGTGACCTTGAAAGGCGTTATTAGAGTTCTTGTAAGCAGAGCACACATCTCAGAAATTGCTGTTTAGCAGTTGTTGAGCCGCCTCCCACCCGGTCGGTGAGCCTTGCGAGTCCATTGGCATAGGTGGGAGAACGGTGACTGGCACAGGTCCACAGTAGCCCAGGCAAGGGCAGGTAGCTGTGCTGAGGCCACACAGGTCCATGTGGGGTCCAGGGGTGCCCTTGGCCTCAGTGTGTGTACACAGCCCCTGCTCTCAGGTCCACAGTGTGTTTTTCATTCTGGGGTGGTTTGATTTTTATTTTAAATGCTTCCGATGAACTTTATCATCAAGTTGAAATTACTTATTTGACTGGAGGAGTCTGGACAGAGTTAATAGTTGAGGAAGAAGGAAGAGGTGGGCAGGTTCATCTGGACCCTGGAAAGCCTGGACTGGAGAAATCCTGAAGAAGTGGCAAGGGGAGTGGAAAAAGGTCCAAGCTGACATCAGACACAGACAGAAATGCTGAGAAAAGAGAAAAATGCTCGTGACTGCCTTTCCCTTGACTTGAACACATGCTACGATGGAGGGCTGCTAGTGAAGGCCAGTTTCTGTTTTGTTCTGTCCATGAACGAAATGGCACCTGACTTCTCTCAGAACTGTAGACTTTTCCTGAAACCTGACTTAAATGTTTTGTAAATGACAAACTGCATCTGAGACGATTTAGGTGGAGAGCCTGGATGGGCAGGCAGGAGAGCAGCATCTGTCAGGCTGTGCCCAGGAAGGACACGTCCTTGGTTATAAGAAGGCTCTTCTGGATCAGAAGGACGGAGGGTGGGATGAGGTTTCCAGGGCCGTTTTGCTGTGTGGATCTCAGCCAGTGTCCTGCTGCTCTTACCACCTGATTTCAGAGGCTGCATTCTGGGTGTCTTCCCCTTGGACTCAGGGGGCCGGCTCGTTTCCTGAGAGTCTCATCTCTGTGGCAGGGCCCTGCTCCCGCCCTCTTGGTGCAGCCTGCTGCCTCCCACACAGTAAAACTTTGTACCTTATTGCTGAATGAATGGATTTTACCAACTCTTTGGAAGATGCGCTTCCACTTTCTTCTGTGTTGCTGAATTTTCGAGTGTTGCCTGTCAGCTGGTTAGCTTAGTAGCCAGTGTCACAGCAGTGCTAATTCCGTAGATCTCTCTTCTGTGGCTGATCCCTTCAGTTATATTTATACTCATGAAAGGCGCACCAATTCAGTTATTTTTTATTTTTCTTAATCCTCTTTTTGTAGGGGTCTTGCTCCTCAGAATAAACCAGAATTACAGAAAGTGATGGAAAAGAGGAAATGGGACCAAGTAATAAAGCAGAAGGAAGAGGAAGCACAAAAGAAGAAATCTGACTTGGAAATCGAACTACTAAAGCGGCAGCAGAAGTTGGAGCAGGTAGGTGTGACAGGCAAAGGAGTCTCTGTACTCCTGAGAACTGGAGATGCTGGAGCGAGCAGCATTTCCTAGACATGGCAGGTGCAAGGAGTTGTACTCTGAAAGAAGAGTAAGAAGCCAGATGGCAGCACATGACAGAAATTACATTCAAGGCAGGCAAGAAGGCTGTTGATGCTCGAGAGAACTGCTAGAGGCAGAAGCAAAAGCAGAAGATCACTGAGTTCACAGTGTTGGAGTGACTTCCTAGAGCTCAGCTTCACTAAGACTCCAGAACAACTGTGTTGGTCTTGGGATTTTATTTTCCCAGCCTTGACTTTGCCGTTCTTGTCTTCTCTTGGTAGTGTTCGTAGTAAGAACCAGTTGGCTCCTGCTTCTGTGCAGAATTACCTCCAGACACGCATACACGCACACACACACGCATTCATACACATACACAATATATATATGTTTTTTGAACTAGGGGACGAAGAAATAATGTTTCATTGGAAAGAGGGGAGTACTTTGACAAACTTCTCACGTTATAGGTAATTTTCCTGTTTTTAAATTCCTTTTAGCTTGAACTTGAGAAGCAGAAATTGCAGGAAGAGCAAGAAAACGCACCGGAGTTTGTGAAAGTGAAAGGCAATCTCAGGAGAACAGGTCAGGAGGTGGCCCAAGCCCAGGAGTCCTAGGCCAATGGTGCCCGAGGCCTGGCGCGTCCCACTGTTACCGTGAGAGCTATGTCTGGCCTCAGGGCCAGAGCCGTGAAGAGAATGCCAGACAGCTAAGAAGCTCGCCTAGAAAAAGGATTTGTTTTGATTTTCCTACAGTCTGGGTGAAAAAATTATCTGTGATTGTTGCAGTTCCCATTCGCCAAATGAAGGACATTGACCAGCACTTATGTTGGAATAATGGACCTGTATTCAGAGATTTAAGCAGAACAAAACAAGCAAGAAAGAGGAAGAGGACACTGGAATAAATTCCTGAGAGTTGCGCTACTTTTTCCGTTCCAAATGTCTTAGGGCATGGAGACTTTTTCTTTGAAAAGCTAACGCAAAGATGTTTAATTCTTTCATGGTTATCTGTTAGATAATTTAATCTGTTACATCCAATGTGTTGAGATTTTGAGAGTCCGGATTTTTCTTGCTGAATTTATACTTTCTCCCATGTTAGAATTAGCAACAGGGAGTGGTAACCCTGATGTTGAGCTGTTCCTTGTGGGCACTGAGCCCCAGAGTGAGGTAAGAAGGACTAGGGAGACATGAGCCTCTGTCTTCACCCATCTCGGACCTCTGTGGGGCAGTGTGGACGTGGCAGTGTCCGCTGCACACCGAGGACAGCACAGTGCCCAGGCTCAGTGTTGCTTGACGGCCGGTGGCTTTTCTGCAGTTTCACTCTCACACCGTGCTGAGCTGGTCCTTCGAGGTGAGATGGTCCCGCGGTCCTTTGGAAAGTGGACATCGTCTGCAGTTTCAGAAGTAGAGCGCCGAGAAGCTTTTACCTCTCCAGAGAGTGGTATAGGGGAGGTTCACGGGGAGCCTTATGGGAAGATTATACGGTGTATGTACATTTTGATATCATTAGAATCTAAACTTTGATGATTTCTGATTAATGGCCACATATTTCTTTACTATGTTTTCCTTGTGCAGAAAGACTTCTGCCACTCTCTCAGGCCAGTGCTGTTGAGAGGTGATGTTGATGACTACTATATTATTACATCTCTCAGGAAAGCCAAGGAGCAGTGCGGGCCGGCTTGTCTCCCTCACACTCCCTAACGTGCTCCTCAGATACCCAAGTTACAAGAGCAGCCCAGTTCTCATGAAAAAGCATGTTTATACTGCTAGTGTAATGTTTGTGGATTTAGTATGTCCTCCATAGAGGCGGCTCAGCCGGTGGCTCCCATTGAAGACTCTGCTTATGCTCCCTCTAGTGACGATAGACATTAGCTTTCTGTGTGAGGGCTTCAGTTTTAGCAGTTGACAGGCCCGTGTCCAACCCTGATGTGAACGTGATAGAGTGAGTGGAGGCTGGTGCACAGCTAGAGAAATGGGTTAGTTGAGTACATCTGAAATGGGTTATTTGTCTTATTGGTGAGTATTATTTGAATAAAATACAGGTTGCTTAAGATAAAATACTGCTCTATAATAGTTTGCTTTTAAAGATTGGAGCGGTGACTCTTTTACCACTGCTTTGAGAGAAGAAAGTGCGGTAACTAATGATCTTGAGAGAACATGTCTGATTGTGTGTTCATTCAGAATTCTCTCTTTGTGCGTGTGGACTGATGGCATGGTTAAAGGTAGATATTTGACCTGGCTCAAATTGTTTTATCTAACTGGACATAGATCTGTGTCCTTAGAGCAGTTCTGCCACTTGACCAAATTCACAAGGGCCCTACCAGGCTCCTGACAAGGATGAGTTCTGTTCCGAGAACTTCGGTAGAATTCATTCGTCACCAAGAAAAAATTAATTAAAAATATTCTCTCCCGATCTCTCTGTGGTTACTACTACGAGGTCCAGCCAGAAGACTTGTAAATAGGCTATGCTGAAACAGCAGGGTGCAGGTGGTGAGGCTCTGAAGTTGATCAGCTGGATCACAGGCTGGAGCTTTGAAGGGAGCCAGTCTTCCCTCAATGCTGTGCTGTCCAGCCCTGTGGACTCAGTCCTGTGCTTTGAGCCACTTTTTTGGGTCAAAAATGGCTCCATTTTTCCACTCTGATTTTCTTAAAATAGTTGAGTGTTTTATAGTCTGATAGTGAAGTAGTGTTGCTTTATAAGCTATGACAGTTGACTTTATTCTTCTACTATGGAAAATCTTGCCTTGTCTGAGTGTATATAATATATATAAAGGGAACCTTAATGGATTTGCTTTCATAATTTAATATTTTTTGTATTTGCTCTTGTATAATTGTTTTTAATGGAAAGTATTACAGAATTGAGGGTGGAATTCTTAGAACCAAAGTTATTCTTAATAAAAATCACCACATGCTTGGACCATGCATCCATGTTTGTCTGATCTGTTTAGAAAAGACACATGATGGGGGCAGGGGACATAGTCCTGAGGCCAGAGGGTGGTTCTGGGACACTGTCGGATGGGTGTCCTTTGGCAGCTTCCTCCCAGTCAGTTATGTCCTGCTGTCAGCCTGTGACTGTTGGCACTGACGACCCATGCCAAGGTGTTACTAGTGCTGTGCTCTGTGCTCTGTGTAGGGCTGAAACAGCACAGGTCAGGTAGCTGCCCTGTGGGCCACAGCACCTGGAATCTTACGCAGTAGCTTGTAGGATATGGGAGGTAGCTTTTAAATTAATGTTACCCTCAAAGAAGACACTCTGGGAAACTATACCCATGATTGCATTCTACTATTGGTTAAAATAATAGGAGATTCAAGTCTCTTGACTTGATAATTATGTATTTGTAAAAAGTCCACTTTGAAGAGTGAAAATTTGCTCTTGTAGATTATACCTCGAGCCCTAGAATCCATACAGAGATGGATTCCAGAAATGATTTGAGCAGTAGCTACATCCTTGGAATAACCACTTTCCCAAGGTGACAGTTTTGAGGATATCAAGCCATTTAACTGGGCATGTGACTATGTGTTTTACAGCAGAAATATATTTGAAGACAGAGAAATTAAGTTTTAAAATGCTACAACTGAGAAATATTAATACTATCAGGCTACTGTTGTTATAAGAAATTTTGAAGTATTTCATTTCCAAGTTATTAGGTTAAATGAAATCTTTTTGAGCTATCCTCACAATCATAATTTCTACTTTGTTTTTTCCTCATGAGAAAATGTAGTCTGGTTGACAACTGGGGATGTTTTGAATATCTCCCCATTACTCCTAGATTTTCTAAGAAGATGGTAATTCCCAAACAGAGTCTGGCGGCGGGGGGGCATTTATTGAGTGTGTGCTCACCGCTGCTGTTACTGCACCCTGCACCTCTCAAGATACATGAGCGTGCGTTTGTGTGTGAGTTAGCAGTGTATGCACACATTTGTGTTGATACGTTTATGTCTCGCTTACTGAATATCACGAGTTCACATCCCTACCCCTAGTAGTGCTTCTTTCTTCTCCCTCGTCTTTCCAGCAGTAAAAACCTGCCTGCCACCTCCTCTGACCCTGTTTCTTCCTCCATCTTCCTGAGCAGGGCCAGTCCTCTGACCTTTCTCAGCCACCTTCCTCATTCAGGCCCTACCCAGAGATTTTTCTTTGAGCATTTACACGTGTATTATAAATGTAGGTGAATTTCCTCAAACAGCCTAACCTACAGACTAGGTATGACTAATTGAAACCTTTCAAACTCTTTAAACAGTGTACAATCTGTACTTGAAAATAATATTAGCACATTTTAAAAGTAACTTATACAAGCCTATTTTAAAGTCAAGCCTTAATATCCATTATTTTTACATTTTAAAAGTTACTTTCCTGTAACCATGGCCCTTTTTATTTTCCTATCTGTTATGGTTTAAAAATGAAGCATTCCAAAGACTCACATATGGAAGTTTCAACCCCCCAGGGCAGCAGTGTTTAAGGATGAGGCCCAGAGAGTTGATTGGATCACAAGGGCGCTGACCTCATCAATGGATGACTTCACTAGCAGAATGGGCTGCTGTGAGGTAGGGCCCAGTTGGAGGAGGTGGGTCACCATGGGTGAACCTTTGCAGAGAGTATGTCTCTCTTTATCTTTGTGGCTCCTTCGCTGTCTGCTTCCTGGTTGCCATGAGGTGAGCAACCATCTCTACTGTGACCTACCATCAAGATGTGCCTAAAAGCAGTGAAGCCATTTAACCACAGACTGAACCTTCTGAAAGCATGAGCCAGAATACACCTTTTCTCCTTTAGTTATGTGTGTCAGGTATTTTGCCTCAGCAACAAAAAGCCAACTAATACAATGTCCTCCTAAGGACTTATTTATACTCTATTCCTAGTTTGTACAACTCTAATGAAGCCTCATGGAAAGGAAATATTTCCATAGAGTAACTTAATGAGGCAGATCTGGCTGCTGGTTGTTAGACACGGTCAGGCTGAGTGGTCCACGTTCTTTCAGTCATGAGTCACAGGCCTTGGACCAAGTCCTTTTCAATAATTAATCCTTGTTTGCTTTATCATGAGATTTAAAAAAATCCCTCGCTGCATATTTTATATTCTTGAAACTTGATGTCCTTCCCAGAAATGGTATAGACTTTCATTTCAGGTGACCAGCATTACCTACACATTGTTCTGCCTTTGTGATACATTGATCTTATTCATTAATATTATTTAAAACTGCCAGAGACTCCTGCAGTGAGTCTCTAGTCCCCGCCTGCCCAGTGTGCATCACAAGGTTGAAGAAAAACTTAAGGCAGAGTTAAAGAGAACTAGGACGGCCCATGCTGCTTTGGCAAAAGGCCCTGACCCATCTCCACCAAATTTTATTCATGAATCAGGGTAAAGGTGCAATCTGTGTATAGATGTGCGGTATGTGAAATTACCATGGAAACTAATGCAGGAAAGGCTTTAAGGAGAAGTCAAGTCATTTTCAAATTAGAAGCAAGATAGACAAAATACATGGCTGAGCCGGGCATGGTGGCACACACCCGTAATCCCAGCACTCTGGAGGCTGAGGCCAGAGGATCGCTGAGTTCGAGACCAGCCTGGGCTACATAGTGAGTTCTAGGTCAGTCTCAACTACATAGTGAGACCCTGTCCCAAAAAAACCTTAAAAAAAAAAATGGCTGTAATTGGAGCATTGTCCTTCAAGCTATGAAGGCACTGATTGTGGGGCTAGAGTTTGGGTACAATTCCTCTGACCTCAGCTGCGGATGTTATCTCATATGAACCCCACAGCGTCACAGGCCGTTAGCAGGGAGGTCGTGTTAACCTGCGCACTACCGCGGTGCTCAGGAGATGCTTCTGTGAGTCACGGAGCTTCAGTCAGACTCGGTCCTTAAAGGAAGCAGCCTGCCCTGCTTACAGCATGTTTTGGCCACAGTCAGTGTTGCAGGCTCTGGCAGAAAACTGTATGCTTTATTAGTATCTCAGACTACAATGTACTACACATACATCAATAAATGAATAATACTTAGGTTACGTACAGAATGTCTATAAATGTCAATGCAACTGAAAGTGAACAAAGTATGTGAACAGGAAATGCAGAGAAGATAAGACACAGATGGGCAGCTGGCATTGCAGGGTTGTGGGCGGAGTCGTTTCGAGATTTTGTCTTAAGAGTCATTGAGTTCATGTGGTGAATTTCCTTTGGGATGTTTGGCTGTTATCTTGGACCTACTGCTGGACTTTCTCCTAATTTTTCTTGTGTGGCGTGTACTGGACTCTCTACTCAGTTGCTGTATGTGACCACAGATGGTCATCAGTATTCAGTACTACATTTTTCTAGTTTTATGCTTGTCTGTATTTATTCTTCCCTGTGTGCATAGCCATTTCTTTATCTCTGTAATATAATTCTTGCCATTATCTTCTTTTCCTTATTAGGTATTTGCAATAATACAGGTTGCCCACTGGAAGCCCTAATTTAAGCTCTCTCTACTGTTTTTGTCCATTTTGTGCAGTGCTGGGGTTTGAACTTTTTTAAATGTTTAAGACAGGGTCTCACTAATTTGCCCAGACTGGGTTCAGACCTCGGCTTCTGAGAGTGCTGGGCTCACAGATGTGAACCGTGATGCCCAGCTTGTTGCTCTTTATAAAACGTTTCTCCTGACAGTTGTATAATGTCCTTGCTTTTTTCCAGCAGTACGGTTTGAACCATCCTCATTTGTTCCCTGACACGTGACATAGAACACTGTGCCCATCGAAGGAGTCCTGTTGCTTTTTGAGGAAAATAAAAGCAGAAACAAAAATCAGGCACAAGATCATTAGTGGACAGGTGTCCCTTCATTTTCAGTAGTGACAAATTAAATCAGTCTGCTTTTCCTGTTTGAAGCCATCACATGCTTTTTACCCTATTTTTCTTATAATGTCAAGTCTTAATGAACCAAAACATGTTAACCTAGAAGGATGAGGTGAGATACTTTCTTTGAAAGTAAAAATTAATGAAAGGGGACCTGCCTGCCCAGATGCTGGACGCTTCCCACACGACGGTAATTTAACAGGCCCTGTTCCAGCTCAGAGGGGCAGAATACAAAGTCCAGGAGCAGTCTGGTCACACATGGAAATGTACTAGGGTTGAGGTAGGTTTTTGTTTCAGAGCAGTGAGGGAAGGATAAGGAATTCAGTGAGAAACGTTTGGGGAGAGTGGAACCAAAGATGTGCTTCTGTACCTAACACCATATTGAAGAATCCCCAACGAAAATAATGCCATGGGTATATTCAAAGAAAATATAAAGGAGTACTTTTTATAATTCTAGGAGTGGGGCCAGGAGGCCTTTCTTAAACAGGACATCAAACCCAAATCTCCGATGAAAACAGCTGGTGCGGCAGCACGTGGCAGTGATCCCAGCTCGCCCGCCAGGTGCTGGGCAGAAGGTCACAGAGGAGCCCAGCCTGAGCGGCTTAGCAACCTAGTGAGACCCTGTCTCAAAAATCTTAAAAAAGGGGCTGGGAATTTACCTCAGTGGTGTCATGCCTGCCTTGCAGTACAGGGTCCTCAGTTCGGTTCCAGTACTGGGGAAAAAAAAATCGAAAAAAAGCAGCCTGGGGATGTAGCTCAGTGTGAAAGCTCTGGGTTCAGTCTCCAATGCTCTACCAGCACACAAATAGAAAAACCTGATGGATTTAGTGAAAATTAAATGTACAAAAAAAGATATTAAAAGGGTAAAAGACAAGTAACAGATTGTATGTGGCAACAAATGAATCATATCTAATCACCTACAGAATGTCTGCAAATGCATCACAGCAACAGCGACCAGAATGCATGCAGAGGAAGTGTACAGAGATGGAAGCCAGTGGCCAGTGCACATACAGAGGATCCGATATTTTTACACTGGTATTCCCAGAGCAAAACCACTGTTTTGATACTCTCTGTTGTTGGTAAGGGTGTGTGCGTGCGTGTGTGTGTGTGCGTG